GTGTGATTGCACATGACTCTTGTCCTTTATTCAACTCAAACGAGACCTAAATTGTCACTCGACAAAGTAATTTGCAAGACAAGTTATGAATAAGGCAAAATGTGTGAACTACTTTGATGAGTGGGTGAGCTGTCATTTTCCACTGTAAATAATGCATAACAAGGTTACTAATACTATAGGTGACCTATTTTTGAGAAAATGACAAAGGGTGTGCCCTCTGATCTCTTAAAGGACTATGAATTATTATCATCCTAGTGTAGTAGAAGGAGCGTCTACATTATTTTTCCGGACCACCCACCAACCCCCAACACAAAGTTTAGGAAAGGGAATACCAGGGAAAGCCTATAATGTGCACACCTTATAATAAAATGTGTAATTTTATTATAAATTAGTGAAATAAAAAATATAATTTTTTTGTAAAATTAATTATAAAATCTTAGATATTTTGTTACATTAATTTATAGTGAAATTACATATTTTATGATTAATGTTATAAAATTTTATGTTAAAATTACACTAATTTATAATAGAATGAACATGGTATGCACCCGTAAAAGGGTACAGACTACACTACTAAAAAAATCACTTTTTGCGACCGCTATAAACCGTCACAAATAATAAAAAAACAGTCGCAAAAGACCTTTTACGACGGGCCATGCGATGGCAAGTGAGGGTCGCGAATGTGGGGTGGCAAATACTTTTTGCGACGGCAAAGTAACAGTCGCAAATTATTCGCGACCGCCTAAACTACTTATGGCGACCACTATTTTTCCGTCACAAAAAAACAAAGAAAAACACTAACATGATTTTTGGCGACCATCTTCTTACCGTCGCAAAAAAAAAAAAAAAAACAAAAACAAAAAAAAAAAAAAAGTGTAACGTTAAGCACTCTAAGAGTAGCAATGACAGGAATTTAGATGGTATAGCATTGTAGTTTAATCGAGCATTCCATTTGAGTCTCAAAATTGGAGCCATATGTGAGTTATTACAAATAAAAACTTGGGAAAAGTTCTTTTATGAAAAAAATACAATCCATAGGAAAAACAGCTCTTTGTTGATGTTAGGGTGCGTCTTGAAGAGGACACCTGGATTGCCTCCAGTCTCAATCCGAAAATAAGGCAAGATGTTAAAGCATGCCATTAGATAAAGGGTCAAAATTTAAATCTACAAACTCAACTCATGGAGAAAAAAGTAGGCACTTCTAAAGATACCACAAAAATTGGCTTTAAAAGGTCATTAATCTTTTAACAGCAGAAATAAACTTAAGGCAACATTATAGTCTCTAAATATGGTGAAGAACTAAGCTCCTATTTGAATTTCCAACTGAAATTGAATGGGGCCATTCCTTTCTCACAAAAGAATTTAACTTAAAACTCATCACCTTGAATTGTTATTTCCATAAAGCCTATAAATGACCATATATGAAAAAATCTGATGAAGTCACCATTTTTTTCTTTCTGATGAAGTCACCCTTTTTTCCAAACAGTTCCATTCAAGCTGATAGGCATTCACATTAAAATGAGAAATACATGGCAAATTATGGAGCCATTCAAATTCAAGGGATGGTCAAATAGGTCCTACATGTATACTACAGAGAAAATAATCATTTAGCTCTCAAATATCTCTTTCAAAATGAAAGCTTTCTTTATTTTTTTATAATTCTTCACACAATTCTCAGCTAGTGGAATGATATGACAAGATTCAAGTAGCTTATCCTATAGGAATGAAGAAAATGCTTTTATTGAATGAATTATTTTCAGCAAGGTTGGCACTCTTTGGGTGAAAAGTGATGATAAATAATCACAAAAGATCTAATATGACAAAGATTTAACTTCCATCTTCTCTCAAACACTTCTGTTAGGTTTTTATTCTTGGCAACCCCGTTTGACAAAACTCCTTTAGGTTGTATTTGTTTTCGCATTTTTTATTTCAGTGAGACTATGAGTTATTAGATGCGAATCCAACTGAATTGTGCCTTTGCAGAGAAGTTTGGTGATGTTAATTCTTTCAAGATTGCCACTTCGCTGATTATGATGGGGATCGAGTTGCCTGTCCACTCGAGCGGACATTCCCTCGCTCGAGCGGAGAATGCTGAGTTCCAGAAGTTTATCCGCTTGCAAAAATACTGGATGTTATTTTTTCCCGCTCGAGTGGAACTTTCCGCCCTCGAGCGTAGGTCCGCTCGAGCGGCTAATCTGACGCTCGAGTGGAGATCGCGGGACAGTTTTCTATAAATACATGTTTCAGTCCAAATCTAGGATAACGCCTCCAGATCTTCTTCTTGGGTTCTAGGGTTTATATCTAGGGCTATCTTGCTAGTTTTCTTTGATGTTTTGATTGAGTATTCAACTCATGGTTTAAAGAGTATACATCAAAGGATTGTTTGTTTATTCTATACAAAAGAGAGAGTTGTTCTTCGGTGGATTCTGAAGAATTCGAGCCTGAAGCTTGGTGGATTCTGGAGTGGCTCATCGTCAAGACAATTCTGAGGTGAAGACGGGGTTGGAAGAGGCACATAGGGGTTGGTTCAATTCGAACGTGGATTCGCTAGGTAATTGAGAGTATACCTGTGTAATTCATTTATATCTTCTTAGTGGATTATTTTGTGGCTTTTGCCCGTGGTTTTTTATCACAATTGGAGGTGTCCAATTGTGGTTTTTCCACGTAAAATCGTTGTGTCGATTTGTCTTGATTGTTTGATTGGGATTGTTATATACTGCTTAAAATTGATACATAATCACAAATCAACATCTAGGGGATTTCTAGATTTTTCAACTTCAAATAACATCTAATATCACAAAGATCTACATGTCTCACATTAACCAAGTCAACATAAATTCATTCTAATGTTAACCATGACATATCACAAAATCCCTAAGAACAGTAATACTTCTGCTTCTGTATATAATTTTGCCTTAAGCAAGAGTGAGAGCTCCATGTATCAACCAACAAAACTGATAAACCAAAAAAATTACTATTAAATAGCTCATCTTAGTAAAGCTGTAGGTAAGAAGTACCAATTCATTTCTTGCACAAACTGTTTATTTGTATAAAATGAAAATCTTACCCACACAATGATCACCTACAATCAACGAGTGAGTACTGACATGAAGTAACACCATGTGGCCATCTGTATGCCCCTGAATAAGGAAAATTTTATAAAGTCAACATGATGCAGCATGTGATGTCTCAAAATGAAGAATAATAGTACATCCGAAAGTTAAATTACAGATGTCCCAAGAAACATAAGGGAATAAGATGACAAAAAGTTATAGAACATACAACTTATGATCAAATTGAAAATGACCAAAATCCCTCATGCATTTTGTTATCAATGCAAGATTCTTTTGTATGTCATTCTACAACAATAATATCAACATCAGTATATTTTTTAATCATTTAATGTTGAGCATATTATAATGAAAATCTTAAACTGCTAAATTGATAAAACTCAACCCAATACTCCCAAAACACACCAGCCCACATATACCTAAATCAACTCACATATACCTTAATCAACCCAACACTCCCAACAAGTATGTCCGGCAAACAAAAAAGATGGGAACACAAACCTTAATCATGTAGACTTTAAAATTTGCTCCATTAACATATTTCTTTCCAAATTTTTTACCTTGGCAGTAGTGCAAGACATTTAAGCATGCATGCCTTTTTAAATTCCACATCTTGAAGGTATTAATTCATATGCTACTGATAGAAAAAGGTATTAATTCATATGTTTCATGTGTAAATACACTTTTTGGAAGGGGAATCATAAAGTCAATACTTCATGCACATCTCCAAGCTATTAGCAAATGAACATCTATGTTAGTGAAAGGATCCTTTACCAGATAAAGCTACTTAATGTTAGTGAAGGGATCCTTTACCAGTACATTTTGGGTATAACAACTAGAGGTAATACCCAGAGAAATGCATACCTATTCATTTTCTTTTGAAGCTTGCTGCACACTAGATGCATCTGACACCTACAATATGTTAGTATAATGTGTTAATAATTTCCATATGTATATATACAAATCGATAAAACGTAAAGTTCGTCAATTTGTAAGAATTGCACCTCTCTCAAGCTCATACTCCCAGCCACACCCTGTGACTCTAAGAACAAAACATGTGCCGTTAGGTTCTTGATCATCGTAGTGAACCTAGACTCAACATCTTGTGTCACACGTTGTGTGATCTCATCAATAAATGAAGGGGCTGCTAATGATTGGGATGGGCCGATGCCTCGCACATACACCGCACTCCAAGGCACTCCTCTCCCATAGGTCTTGCATTACCCATGTCCATCCTTCCCAAGGATTTTATGGTAAATCTCATCGCAATACTTAATTGTATGTTGCTCCTTAGGAACTTTCCAAAGATGCGCATTATATTCCTCCTACATTTTGAAAACATAAGGACAATGTTTGGTAAAAAGCAAAATATGTGTAAAAACATTTAAACCATAGACATACCACAATTGCTACCACATCGGGATCATTTAGGTTGTGTGCCCTCTTCCAGAGACTCATCTTATCTATTCGCTCTCCTTTATGTGTCATCTGTATTTTTTTTCAAGTTAGGAGCTCAGGTCTTCACAACATAATAAGTAAAAAGTGCAACACTAGGTGCAGCCACAACTGCAGCCGCAAGTGTCACACCAAGTGCACTAGGTGCGGCTGCAGCTGCAGCACCAATTGTAATCACAGATGACGCCTTAGGTGCAGCCACAAGATTAATACATTGAAACGAATATCTGAGAAAGATGTCCTTCCGGTTGTATGTGAAGGCCCACGAAATCCCCGATTAAAAGAATTCTTCTTAGCAATCGCCTATAACATTGGTTAGAATATCAAACATTAGTTATTTATCATTAAAACATTAATTAAAATTTTACAAAGAATACTTATACCTGTACTTCTTTTCTCGCCCAATATTGCACAAGTTTCCTCCACTGGGTTAATACCCATGTCCATCATTTCCAACGATTTTATGATAAATCTCATCGCAATACTCAATCGTATGTTGCTCCTTAGGAACTTTCCAAAGATGCGCATTATATTCCTCCTACATTTTGAAAACATAAGGACAATGTTTGGTAAAAAGCAAAATATGTGTAAAAACATTTAAACCATAGACATACCACAATTGCTACCACATCAGGATCATTCAGGTTGTGTGCCCTCTTCCAGAGACTCATCTTATCTATTCGCTCTCCTTTATGTGTCATCTGTATTTTTTTTCAAGTTAGGAGCTCAGGTCTTCACAACATAATAAGTAAAAAGTGAAACACTAGGTGCAGCCACAACTACAGCCGCAAGTGTCACACCAAGTGCACTAGGTGCGGCTGCAGCTGCAGCACCAATTGTAATCACAGATGATGCCTTAGGTGCAGCCACAAGATTAATACATTGAAACGAATATCTGAGAAAGATGTCCTTCCGGTTGTATGTGAAGGCCCACGAAATCCCTGATTAAAAGAATTCTTCTTAGCAATCGCCTATAACATTGGTTAGAATATCAAACATTAGTTATTTATCATTAAAACATTAATTAAAATTTTATAAAGAATACATATACCTGCACTTCTTTACTCACCCAATATTGCACAAGTTTCCTCCACTGGGTTGGCACTATGTTACTAGGTACTCTAGAAGCAATGTTCGAATCATTCTTGAATGGAACCTAATACTTGGACTTTGTCTTGCTTTTATGATCTTTCCACGATGTCCTACAAAGTCGCATACAAGCCTCCTTGAATTCATCTAGACAGTATACCAAGTTGTCCTACAAAGCACAAATTGAAAGCCAATTTCATCCTCATAATTATAGAGCATACACAAATGCACAAACAGGCTAATAACTAATAACTAAACACAATTAACAAGATATTAGAAATCAAATAACTAATAACTTGGAAAAATTCAAAAATCTAAGAATAAACCCTAACCGTAATTAGCAAAAGGGAAAACTATATACCTTCACCTCTTGCCAAATATTCTCTTTTATATCGACATGCATCACATTCCAACTGAGATATGTAAGTGGGACTCTATGCCCGCTGTGCATGATCAACCCCAATTGTCCCTTCAACTTTTTGCCATCATCCTCCACTGGCTGAAACTTATCATCAAATTTTACTTAGATCTTAGTTCCTGTACCCCATTCCTTTATCCCTCGGGCGAATCCTCGACCTCGTCGTGTTAAGGAAGTTGATACTGTATATGGAGATAAAACAGATGAAGTAGATGCTCCATCCATAGTGCGAGGGACCTTAAAGGTCTTCCTCTTTCACTTCATCCTAAAATGAAAGAAATATGAAAAGGTTAATACACAAGAAATATGGACATCAATTTACTAATAATATAACACAAGATATAAATATAAACAAATGATACAAATCTGTTTCAGAACAAATAAAACTTTAGCGGTAAAGTTTACCTCGAAACATATGGAGAAGATGCTCCATCAATAGTGCAAGGTAGCGAGAGACTTGCCTACACACGTAAAGCCTCATCCATAATGCAAGGGGTCTTAAAGGTCTTCCTCTTCCGCTTCATCCTAAAATGAAAGAAATATGAAAAGGTTAATACACAAGAAATATGGATAGCAATTTACTTATAATATAACACAAGATACCTATTAGCATCCTCGGTTGTCTTCCCAACAATTCTTCCTTTGGGCGATACTGATAACTGTCAAGAGTGCAAGTTAAATTCAAAACCAATTTAATACATGAAAAATAGCATCAACTAACAAGATAAATTCATAAAAAAAAACTCCTACGAATACTGACTAGAAAGGCAACATCAACTCCAATTTCATCTAGGACCTGTCAAGTAAATAAATAAATAAACAAACTACCCAACATGTGTTATTCAATTAACAATAACAAAAAAACATAAATCATCTTGATTCATAAAAAACATAAACCAATAGAAGAACAAGAAAAATTAAACAATGAACCTGGTTGGTTAGCTCTTCAGTGTCCTCTTCAGTCTGCTTAGCTGGGGACATTTGTTGTAAGCAAGCTTGTAATTTTGTTATTTGTTGCCTAAGATTGATTAGCTAACATGCTGAAATTTTAGTTGCTGCCTGCAGAATGCAGATACAAATAAAAATAAGAAGATAAATCTGAATATAAAAACAAGAAAGAGAAATACGTTCCAGAATGTACCTCATTTCCTGTTTTAGCAGTTCTCTTTATCTCCGTAACAAGTTTCTTTTCCTATATCAACAAATAATTTATAACCGACATTGTAATTGAATAAAAAACATAAACATTACCTATAAACTCTTTAACATACTTTCAATTGCAAGGTAGTGATTTCCCTCTCAATTGCATTGGCTATTTCAAAGAACAAAGATCCATATGCAAGTCCACAACGATGTATCCTAAGCTCGTAACTATTAGAACCGACATTGTAATTGAATAAAAAACAACACCACAGCAAGTAAACATTTATTATAAAAAGAAAGAAAATCTTTATGAAGCTCTACACTTGACAATAAAACAACGCATAAACATATATAAATTTCTTACAAATTCAGCAATTAAACTCGAGACATTTTAACAATATTTAAACTTTTCTTATTTGCAAATAATAGAAACCTAAGAAACACGGAGCATAGTTCAACCCTCTTCCTCAACAATCACAAATGAAGTTCAACCATCTTCATCAACATCAATTGTTGCTCCTTCTATTCCTTCTCTTACCCAACCAATTTCTTCATCACGAAGCATAGCGTTGTCTTCCAAATGTTGAGTCATATAGGGTTCAACTTGAGGGTCATCATTAGAATTCATATCAAAAAGACCTCTTTGAGACATCTTTACCACAACTTGCCAATCTGGTTCCAAAGGATCAGGAACATACCAAACTTGCTTAGCTTGGAATGATAATATAAAAGGTTTATTGCTAACACAATCGGTTGGGTACAACAAATGATTGAAGTTGACTAATGTGAATTTGAAAGTGTCTTCCATTTTCTCCCTAGTGTTATCAACCCAATCACACTTAAACAACACATATTTTCATATTGTTAGTGTACCGGATTTCGACAATATCAGTCAACTGTCCATAGTAGTACACAGCACCGACGCGAGGACTCTTGTCCTTCCGACTAGCATAACTCATTGTATCAGCCTTTAAAGCTACACCACTATTTTGAGTCACCCAACGATCATCCACAGCTTTCACACGAAAACGAAACCCATTGATAATGTAACCATTGAACCGCCTAGCCAAGGTATGAGGACCATCTGCTAATCTATTGATTTCTTCAGTAAATGTAATATTACTTGTCCTTCACAAGGTCTGAACCTATTAAAAAAACAAATATAAATTCAACTTCAACTTCAACTCAAACTCAAAATTTATGTATATTTAGATATGTGAAATGAAATGTCTAAATACATACATGGTCCTTAAACCAAGTGTAGAATGTTTCGAAATGCTCAGATTGAATTTGATGATCGCTTGCACGTGGCATTTTGCTCTTAATGACTTCAAGGTGTTTGCTGTGTAAATTGGAAGAGAATAATAAATATCATATAGATTTCACTTTAGAATTTTACAATACTAGGAAAGTGATAAATTACCTTGTGAATGGTGCAACTGAACTTGTGTTGAACAACACATATCGGTGACACTATTGTAATTCATTATCATTAAGATAAAATGTTGCACTTTCGCCTACAGCTCAACCCATGTTGTTATCACCTTCATTGTTTCTCCTCGGTCGATTAGATTTGGTTTCCACATCAAGGAGATAGCGAGAACAAAAGTTCATGCGTTCTTCCATCAAATACCCCTTAGCTATTGAGCCCTCCGGATGAGCTTGATTACGCACATATTGTTTCAATGTAAGAAGAAACCTTTCAATCCGGTACATCCATCGAAACTATATTGCTCCAGCGATCAAAGCTTCATCAGCAAGATGTATAGGCAAGTGTTCCATTACGTCAAAGAAAGATGGTGGAAAAATTTTTTCAAGATGACAAAGAGTTATTGCGATACGATCCTGAACATATTCCAAATCGCTTGTACGATTCACTTTGGAGCCCAATTGTCTAAAAAATGTGCTCAACTCAATCAATGGTTCAATCACATTCTTAGGCAAAGACCTCCATATAGCTAAAGGAATAAGTTGTTGCATCAAAATATGACTATCATGGCTCTTTAGACCCCAAATACTTCTATCTTGTAAGCGCACTTGTCGCGAGATATTGGATGCATAACCGTCTGGTACTCTTACTTCCTTGAGTACTTTGAGAAACATCTCTTTCTCATCATTGATCATTGTGAATTGTGCAGGAGGTACATAAACTTTATTGAACCCTCTTGACTGCAAGTGCAGTGGTTTTCTGATATTCATTTCTTGCAAATCACGTCGAGCATTCACATTATCTTTGGATTTCCTCCAACTCCTAGTATTGTCCACAATACATTATCGCAGACATTTTTCTCTATGTGCATCACATCGAGATTGTGTCTTATTAAGTTGTGGTCCCAATACGGAAATTCATAGAATGTACTTTTTTTTCTTCCAATTATGGCTTTTTCTTCCGTTATTTTCCCTCTCTTCTTGTCTCTTGAACATTTCCTTAAGGTCATTCCTCTTGTACTAACTAAGGACACCTTCTGTTCCAACTGATGCAACATCTCAGATCCAGATAAAATTTGAGGTTTTAGTTTCCATTCTCGACTACCATCAAATGATACTTTATCCTTTCAAAATTTATGATTAACTGGTAAGAAACGACGATGACTCATGTATGAATACTCCCTACCATGCTTCAACCAATATGATTGAGTTTTCACATTGCAGCAAAGACAAGCATATTCACCTTTCGTACTCCATCCTGATAAGTTGGCATAGGCAGGAAAGTCATTGATTGTCCATAACAAAGTTGCATGCAATTGAAGCATTTCATTGGTTGATGCATCAAATGTTTGTTCACCTTTATCCCATAATTCCTTCAACTCCTCAATCAATGGTTGCAAATACACATCGATCTTATCGCCAGGTCCTTTTGGCCCATCAATCAACACAGACAAAATCAGATTTGATTGCTTCATGCACATCCATGGTGCTTCGAAGAGATTTCTCTGATCTCACAGAGAAACTGAGACAAGAGAGAGAGAGCATATAGCGATCTCGGGTTTGTCCCCTTTATGTACAGTGTTCCGGTCTTAGGTTCTGTGGGGTTGGTGGTTGTATGTCCTGTTGTCATCCTTTAAATTCCATATGTCTGAGTTTTAGGATGTGTTGGGCGTGTTTTGAACAGGCTAGTTGAGCCTTAGCCCCTTTCCTTGTTGCCCAGAGTTTTGGTGGTACGCTCGAGCGGGTACCTTTGCGCTCGAGCGAAGATGGATTTTGGGTTGTACGCTCGAGCGGACCATATCACGCTCGAGCGGAGTTTTCACACTTCCAGTATCAGTGCCTCTGCAAAACTTCTGCAGATGTGTTTTTCACGCTCGAGCGGGTTTCCTTACGC